TCTCTCTCTCTCTCTCTCTCTCTCTCTCTCTCTCTCTCTCTCTGCTTTCCTCTTTCGCTTTCCCACTTTCGCGCCGATCATTTTCATTAATTCTTCCGGGCTATTAGTTTGCAAACTTCCGATTCTTTTGCGCGCAGAAAGAAAGGCAATGCGTTACATTCGTTTCGTATCAACTTGGCCCTGGCTTTTGTATAAATTCAGAAAACTTTCTTTCATATCAATTTTTTCTTTCATAATAAAACCTCTTTAATCGATTATCGTATACGGCAATGAAAATCTCGCAGGTCCATTTCGGAGAGTCGACAACAGATTCTGTATTTCTCAGGCAGACACTTTCGTACCCCACGCGGTGTAACAAATAGCTGCCCGGGCGATTAATCTTGGATTTAGCTTGTCGATCGCCGACTTAATTCAGGCGATCAATGAGTTTGCGTTCTTTGCGCGCTACCGTCGTATAAAAGAGCTAGGTCGGCTGAGCGAATCCGGCATTATCGCGCGGTTGCGTTTGCCGCGAAGGAATCGCATTCTATCGCGTCTCGTATACACTAACAGAGGAAAACTCAAGAAACCCTACTTTCGCAAGCCAAAAGACGCCCAAAGACATGTGCGCCATTATCACCGACACGATATCGATACGACCATTGCTCATAAAGCACAAAGATTTGTGCCCAAGAGATTGCTTTGAGACAGCGAGGCATGGCGACACACATTCCCCGGCATCATGAATTACTGCCTTTTTATTGAAATATAAAGTAAATCTCTAGTGACTCAACTGCGCGCGCTTAATTAGATTTTGCCTCTTTGTGCAATCAATGGAGATGAGCGCGCGAGACTCGATTAAAGAATTAAGCTGCCGTATTAAACGCTGCAGTAACGCTGACATTGTTCGCGCGAGTCGTATCGCGAGAACACATGTCACGTATGCGTATACGAATACGTGTTCAAGAATACGTCTTACTCGAGAGACGCGCGCAATTAGGGAGGGCGGCGGTCCTACACATGGACGTCGTGGTTTTTCAGTGAGATCTAAGTGGGCGAGTCACTCGTCCTACGCGCGGACTACGTACGCGCACTTTTAATACTCGTCAAAGCAAACAAACGTTCGCTTCATACTTTTTTGTCGCGATGCGTATTTGGTAGACACACGATGTGTAAGAGCACTTGCATCTGCCGCACCGAATGCGCGCCGCGCACGAAAAATCTTCCCACGTGACGCGTGACATTTTTCGACTTGACCGCGATACGTCACGACGAAATTCACTTTGACACGCGGTCGATTCATTGTCGCGGTTGATCGCAATCTCTTTCGCGGCCACGCGGATAAAGCCGAAAGTAGTCACGCGCGCTACGCGGTGCGATAGGTGCGAAAGAGGCGGGGAAGGTGGAAATCGCCGTCGCTTTGTAAACTCTCTCTCTCTCGCCCTGACGAAGCCCAGAACACCTCCGCGAGGGCTGACGTCGCGCGATATAAACACTCCCGCGGGGTACAGCGAGAACTTGGCTATTCTCGGGATATTCGAAAGGCAACCGTTTCCTCGATCGACATTGCGCTGCACCACGAAACGAAGGCAGAGTAATATCGATCTAGCATCCAAATTTAATCGTAAGAAGAGACTCGTCTCGATTGAATCTTTCGTGATCTGTCGAATTTTCATTCGAGATGTAACATTAGGTGGATGACTTCACGTCTAATTTGTCACCCAACCAGCCCAACGAGAGACCATGCGATAATTTGCTAGTAGTTTCTCAAACCAATCCCCGCCGTGAAATGGAGCGTGTAAAGAATTGTCTTGGAGTAGAATATTTGACACGGAACGTGCCGACGGCATCGGAGAACCAAGGGTAGTAACATTCCGACGCGCCAAATACGCCGGCGACATACTTGGAATATTTACTGCGGTATGTTCACGCGTGGTAGAAGCGAGTACCAATCTTGTCATTTGCGAATACAAATTGCTCGCGCGCGCGCGCTTTTATCGTCACGTTTATATATGCGTTTCTACGTTTATGCTTTAAACGTCTATATCGCATCATCAACAGAGCCGATCTCGTGTCATGTTTTCAAAACAATCTCGACATTTAAGATAAAAGGAGAGAACGCTGAAAGAATTGTAGGCTCGAATAATAAAACGACGAGTAACATTACGAGACGTCGTCGTCGTCGTCGTCGTCGTCGTCGTCGTCCTCTTCCATCTCTTCTTTCTCATCGGGAGAAGGAGGAACCGGCTGAAACGTTTACGACGAGAGAGAGAGAGAGAGAGAGAGAGAGAGAGAGAGAGAGAGAGAGAGAGAGAGA